AATTTTAGAATAAAATCACTTTTGATGTACTTCTAAAGACATGACAACCTCAATTTATTTGATTCGGTGACTATTTGGAGAAATTCGTCATCGAAACTTACTGATTTTAGACATCTTTGTAAAAAGATTACCTGCTCGATTGTTGTGTTGAAGAGCACAGGCTCTTGCGAAACTACAGCAATGTAATTTCTAAGAAATTCGATATTGATCTTGTCAATTTCAACACCGTCTATCGTTATCTGAGATAGAGAGTTTGCAGGAAAAATTTTATGAGAAGCTCTAAGTGCACCTTGCCATCTGCAGGGTCATAATATCGAAGCAGTAGTTGTATGATAGTACTTTTTCCACATCCACTCGATCCTACCAGAGCTATGGTTTGGCCTGGATTTGCTTCAAACGAAACGCCCTTTAAAAATTTGGGATATCTCGAGGTGAAACATTTGATCACATTCTAATTCAAAACAGCTGTTCAATGAATTCATGTCGCTACTTCTGAAAACTAAGCTTACAGAAGCAAAAAAAGGTACAAAACTGAGCTTGTCAAAAATACTGGAAAAATGAAATTCAAATCATTTTTCTCATATTTTGCAGCGGAAATAATTTTTTTTGCGTTTGAATGCGAGTAACATAAGTGGTAATTAAGAATAACTAATCAATTATTGATTATTCAACTTCCTGACTATATGCGAACCAACAATACTGCAGTAGTGCTAATTTCAATTAAAGAATGATCTAGCACACTAATCACGGTAGAATTCATAGACACTTAAAATCTGCCATGCACAGGAGGATGTTCTGCGATCTCTTTTGCAATACAAAGATTTCGGTTTAATTTTTGAGGAAATTTGATTTCTATAAAGCTGGCGTTCTCTGAGGACTTCCACAATTTCCCTCTATGAAGAAAAACTGTGTTCTGGAAGCATACATTCAAACGCTATTTCTCAAGGATAATCCTAAACAGAATGGTGTAAAAGTTTAGGAGTCTAGAAATTGGAGCTATGTACAGGTGAGCATTTCATGTAGCAAGCACTGTCACTAATTCTGTGCATCTGCTGGTCTTGTTCTCCCACTCGCTTG